TTAATCAGCTCTGCGTGCACCAACTTCTATCTCTACGCAGTACAATCCATTGAATCTATATTGGCATAATGAAAACTACGCCGTAGTTCTGTCCAGTATCTTGAAAACCATATGGAACTTCATCAAGAAGTTGTCAAGAAGCTGCGTTTTTGACCACAGGAACCACTCGGCTATTTCGGTAAGCGTGATCCATTAACAACGTGCCAGATGTGCAGTCGAGTACCGTTACACTGGCTGTCGTGCCCGGCGATACCGTGAATCTTTCCTCGTTTATAAAAGATAAAGCGAGAAAGAACCTACACTCTTTTAATAAGCACAGGCTGTTGTCACCCACCGTCTCTATTTTCTGCCTGAAAGTAAGTCGCCGAGTCCTGGACTACAACCGGAACGATCCGCAGCGAATGAATAGCTCAGACATATAAATGCCGTTCGACACCGTGTACTTGTAGTAAGCAGCGATTCTGGGTTATACAAAAGCTAGCGGAGACATCCTGGATATCAGGTAATGGTTCGTTTGACCACGGCGCAGCAAATTTCGTCGGGCACCACTAATAATAGCATGATGGGGATTACTGAATCCTTGGATGAAAAATCTGTTTCGTTTCATTCCCCGAATTTTTTGGCAGCCCGAACTAGTCGCCTGCGAAGAACTTACTTGGCGCAAAACTTTACGCGAAATATCTCAAACTTTATATATACGGGGCCTGTCATTTACAATTCTATATGTAGGCGGCGTACCCATGGCCATTATAATTGAAGCCCTCCAATGCTGGAACACAGCTGGAAATACGTGCATTCTTATCGTTTGCGGTCACAGCCAAACGGAATACGACCGTCGAAAAATCAAGACCTACCACTGGAATGGACAACGAGCGCATCAGGACTCCATCCTTCGACAAAATGATCGGGTTTGGACCGGAGAAATCTTCAAACGCGTAGATATAACTCGCATCAGTAAGAAAGAATAGTATTTGCCATAAGCCAGGCGATCTTGACTTGAAAGTTTTTAGCTCGTCGATTATTCGGTCCAGAATACCGCAAGCAGTCAAAAATAATTATCATGCTCACTTTGTGCATGTATAGTTGATCATCAGTACTTCGAATACCATAGTCTATAGACATTGGTAAGTACTGTGATGCTTTCATTACACTGACCTGCGGGAAAGTTACTAACTGATGCCGACGGCAGTTATTGCTCTTCTCCAGTTCGTTCATTGGTCCACTGGTATCTCTTTTCCTGGCAATCCGTCCTTCTGGTTAGTATCCTTCTGCTCGAGCTTTTCCATCAGATTTCTACACAACCTCCGAGGTACTGAATTTAGTTTAAAAAGTCGTTTGAGATACTATCACTTCTGTGTGTGGGGCCGCAGAATAAACCTATTTCTGCTGGCTGGAGGAATACGCCCTTCGTAACGCCTACGTTGCGTTGACTGCTATTCCCAGATGAACCCAGGCCTCACCTAAATTCTTCGGTCTCCCTACGCCTCGAAGGGTCTCCGGGTGCTGATTAAGTCAATAAACCATCAATGTAATACAGTAACCTAAATAACGTGTTTGTGGAATTATACGGTTCTACTCTATGCATTCCTGCCTGCCCGCATTTGAACGATTCCAGCTCTATTCAAACCCCCACCCCTCACCACCTTTGCTGCTCCTCCTCCATCTTCACACCCTCAAACTCCATAAACTTCCTCTCCTCCAACAGCGGCACATTCTGGAACGATAACGGCGTCGGCGTGTGTATCACTGGCGACGGCGCATCCGACTCGATCGGCGAGGTGTCCGTCGACCCGGAGAACGAGGAGGAGGAGGAGCCAGACGTGGCGAGGGCAAGCTGGGGTGGGTATGCATCACCAAGGCTGAGGTTTTGGAAGCCGTATGTAGGCATGGGCTGGGAGGTGTTGTAGATAGCGTCTAGGCTGCGGTGGTGATTATGGTGAGGTGGCATGGTGGAGCTCGATAGTCCATTGGGCTGATAGTATCCGTATCGTGAGAATGCTTGCGAGGGATACAGAGGTTCCTCGACGTTATAAGGAAGCGCAGATTGGCTTTGAGCTCTCCGAATAGATTGCCACTGGCCATTGCTACTCGGCGGTGGGGGCTGGCTACCATCTGTATACGATGGAAGTGGAGGTAGCTGCAGCTGCGACGGCGGAAACGAATCGATCACCGGTGAACCAGAAAGAGAAGCTGGCTGCGAATGGGACTGATATGGCACATATTGTTGGAGTGGCTGGCTCGTAAGCTGGAATGGTTGTGGGGGGAACTGCACTGATGGAGACGCCGAGAGATCGTAGGAAATCAGATTGTGGCTCTGCTGTCGTAGAAAGTGGTGGTATTCCCTTTCTCGCTGCTTCTCCTGGTGTATCTTGGAACCGCGCAAATCGATGCTGGACACTGCAGTACGCAGCTTTGGAGTGGCTACATTTCCGCGGGCGCGCGTTTCCCTGCTCGTGTACTGGCAAATCAAGCCACGGGTAGTACAGCGTTTGCAGACCGGCTTTTCGCCGGAACACTATATCAAGGTATCAAGAGTTAGACGATCACAAAGCCTAATTAGAGCAATCGATTGACCTTGGTTTTCCGTTCTCTACACTTGTCACAGGCTTGCTGTGTCCGTTGGCGCATGGAAGTGTTTGCGAAAGAAAAACTGGCTGGAGAGCTGAAAAAATCGTCGGCAGAGTTGGAGGCCATGGTGGTAACAACGAAAAATAATCCGTAGCAAGTAACCCCTAATTTTGAAGTTGCAGTATTATAATGTCTTCCGTCTTTCGCCATTTTAAACTGATCGAAGATCGCAAACGGGATATTTATCATGATGATGATGTACACATCCACCTACGTCCACTAATAATACATCCGACGACACGGAGGAGGAAAATAAGAACTAAGACCTTGACTTGGCGAACTCAGTGTTGAACTCTCGGCCTATGAGCATGCGTCGGATTTCCTGAGTACCGGCGCCAACAGTGTAAAGTCTCGAATCGCGTAGAATCCTTCCCATAGGGTAATCTAAAGGATTTGTCAATTAAGTGCCTGTACGATCAGGGCGAGAGGCTTGAGTGCGATTGTCGCACGCAGAGGTACATACCATTCACATACCCATTCCCACCAAGACATTGCATGCCCTCGAGCGCAACTTCAACGGCCTTCTCAGTAGAGTACAGAATAGCTCCTGCGCAGTCCTATAGAAAAGATCAAGTCAGATGTGGTGGAAAAACGTTCTAGCTCCAGAAAAGGGGGGCATCCACGAGCTATCATAGGAGCCTCCGGAGGGATTGAAACCGATCGCTCAATTCAGCGTTCAAGATGAAGAGCATGCAACGGCATGTGCAACTGCCATCGAAGACGTGCGAGATTGTCGGGGCAGAGCACTCAGCAAGTCTCAATGCTTACCGATCTGCTGACCCTTCCGGCGTCGCATGCCTTTGCCACGGCATAGACGTAGGCCCGGCTTGCATTGAGTTTAGTATACATGTCTGCTATCTTTCCTGGGGACGAGAACTATCAATTGAAAACCAGAAATAAATGAAATAGACCCTGCCTTGCATTAGCTGGAACTCCCCTATGGGTTGCCCAAATTGCTTCCGCTCGTGAACATACTCGACTGCGTAGTCGAATGCGGCCTGCATGAGACTATAGCAAAGTTGAGTTCAGAACGGAGGCCAGGCAGTTGGTACAGACCCAAGTGGCCCTCCACTCAAGACAAGCCTCTCGAGGTCCAGGCCTGACATCAAGACTTTGGCGCCCCTGTTGACCTCCCCGAGCACGTTTTCTGCACAGCATGGTAAATTAAAAGCCGGAGCACAAGAATAGGAACGCACCAACCTTCTGGTACAAAACAGTCTTCGAAAATTAATTCACAGGTGTCGCTCCCTCTCATTCCGAACTTGTCCAGTTTCTCACCGGTAGAGAAACCTTCCGAGTCGCGCTCAACAATGAAGGCAGTGATTCCCTTTGAGGGATTAGGATCATCGAGAGGAACGGTCTTGGCGTAGACGACAAAAGTAGATGCAATAGGACCGTTGGTAATCCTAGACATCGTTACAGTCCAGAGCGTTGAATTGACACATAGAAACTGACCAAAACTTATTGCCATTCAATTTGTACCCTCCGGATACTTTCTCCGCTTTGAGTCGCATGCTGACAACATCGCTTCCACTACCTGTTTCACTCATCGCCAAGGAACCAACCTTTTCACCTGTAATCAAGTCCGGAAGGTATTTCTCCTAGAGAAACGGTCAACTGAGGCTACAGCGCAAGCAAAGTACTGACCTTTTGCGTCTCTGTTCCCCACCGATGGATCTGGTTTACGCAGAGGTTAGAATGAGCGCCGTAGGACAGTGCAACGCTGCCGGAAGCCTCGGATAACGCTTCCATAGCCAAGAGATGGTGCATATATCCCAGTCCAAGACCAGAGTATTGTGGTGCAACCGTAATACCAAGAAGTCCCATAGATCCAAGTGCAGGGAATAGTTCCTGGACCACAGATTAGTCGTCTGTTCGAGTTGCATTCAAAAGGCATCGTACAAGAGGAAACTTGTTGGATTTATCTATTTCTGCTGCTCGAGGGGCAATCTCTTTCTGTGCGAATTCCGTTACAGCAGACCTGAACTGAGGAAGGTATGCTTTATAGTTACATCAAGGATGTAGGTCACCGCGTACCTCTGTCTCGTCATCGCTCAACCCAGCCACATCTGTGTTGTAGTACGAAGATACCAGTCGTCTTGAAATACGTGTACCGGAAGGCCAGATAACTCGACGAGCAGGCCGTGAGAGAAGAAGACCCAGGGAAAGGACAACCATGTTCAAGTTTAACTCGGTACAGTTTACCCCGCACTGGAGGAGAGCGTGACGATGATCCGTTAGTCACACTCAAACCGATCAGTCCGATCAGTCACAAATTCGTCACAGCTCTCTCCGTTTCTTCAAAGTTCGTTCGACACTGTCGCACTGAGTCCAGGGAAAGGAAAAATTGAAGCGTCCAAAAGCAAAACCTATGGGGAAACCCGGGATTGAACCGGGGACCTTTAGAATTATAAACTTCAGTCTACTGCTCTCCCAGCTGAGCTATTCCCCCACAATGATGGAGGGAAGTCAACATAATACATAATGCCACATTCAAACACACCTCCGTTTGTTGTCACTAATCCTTTCGCACCACTCTCTGTACTGAACAATATTTCTTTCAACGACTTTGATTCTGATTTCTACTTTCCAGCATAGATACTGTACTACAATTTGAATTGCATAAACTTGTCACTGTTGGAATTCAATGTCGCATGGTGACAAGTTTATGCAATTCAAATTGTAGTACAGTGTCTATGCCGGAAAGTAGAAATCAGAATCAAAGCCATTGAAAGAAATATTGCTCAGTACAGAGAGTGGTGTGAAAGGATTAGTGACAACAAATGGAGGCAAGAGTAGGAGTCTACTGCTCTCCCAGCTGAGCTAACCCCCCACAATGATACCTGAAAGTTAACATAGTACATAATGCCATCATCAACCAGTCCCCATGCTTTTGAGATCAGGCCAGAGGTACACATATAAACCTATAACAAGAAGAAAAATGATGCAAGAGATGACTCTCATGTAACTACATGCTAATAAAAACCAGAGCTCCTATGATGGTGATACTTAAGCATAATATCTTCCATTGCACAATTCATTTATTGCTCTTCCAAGGCCCCGGTAATTCGAACAAGACACAGGTCATTATATGGGATATATGTTAGAATAACTGGATACAATGGAAATATAAGCTAAAAATAACACAATAACAACATAACATTTGGAAAAATCAACTGGAACCCTTATATTCTGTAGCGTCGGCAGCTTCCTGGGGCAATGATAACGAGCCTTCATCTATCTCCTTCGCAACGGCGATCCAAAAAGACTATCGCCATCGCCCTCTTCGTCGTCGTTCACCATAAACTCATTATAGACGCGGTGGTATTCCTTGTCGTCGGTCGCTCCATCGTCGTCAGTCGTAGATGGGTCTTCCACGGAATTTATCGAAGTGGACGCAACCGGTTGCTCCTCGTGCGCCGAAGCAACATATTCTTTGTACCATGGCATATCCGTGATCACAGCGCTAAGAACCCTTTCCAAAGTATTGCCACTAGTTTCCTCTTCTGTTTTCACCTGTCCGCCCGCAATGTGGGCCCGCTTCTCATCTGTGGGAAGAGTCGTGGGACAGGGTACGGGGGAAGGAGGAAGCTCGGGTTCATCCTCGCCTGAGTCTTCGTTTTGAACCTCCGGACTTTCGGCTTGCGCAGGAGCAGTCGACCAAGCGTCATCGGCAGATAGAGGGTTCGTCGTATCTGTATCTCCGACTGTAATGACCGGAATTGGAGGTGGTGCCTGTATGGTGGTAGGCTGAACGGGGGCATGCACTGAGAGAGAATAGACAGAAGGATTAGCAAGGTAGCCAGCCGATTGCTGGAAGTCGTTTTGCGTCTGAATCGCGACATCTGGCTGGACTGGAGTACGTGCGGGAGTTGGAAGGGTCTGTCCAGAAGGGCGGGAGAAGTAGTCCGTCGATGGCTGAAAGCCGTTTGAGGTCGTGGAAATAGACGCGACTGGTTGCTCCTCATACGCCGAGAGAACATATTTTCGAGACCATGGCGTGTCCGTGATCATCGTATGACAAGGGCTTTCCAAAGTACCGCCACTGGTTTCCTGCTCTGTTTTCACCTGTTCGCCCGCGGTGTAAGCCTGCTTCTCGTTTGGGAGGAGAGTGGTGGGACGATCGACGAGGGAGATGGGAAGCTCGGGCTCATCCTCGCCTGAGTCTGGGATTCGAACCCTCGGACTTTCAGATTGCACAGGAGCAGTCGACCAAAAGTCATCGACAGATAGGGCGTCCGCCGTATCTGTATCTTCGACAGTAATGATCGGAACTGGAGGCGGTGCCTGAATGGGGACAGGCTGAACGGGCGTAAGCGCTGAAGTAGGGAGAGAAGGACCAGCAAAGTAGTCCGCCGATTGCTGGAAGTCGTGTTGCGTCTGTACCGCGGCATCTGGATAGACTGGAGTACGTGCTGGAGTAGGGAGGATGTGCCCAGAAGAGTGAGAAAAGTAGTCCGTCGATGGTGCGAAGCCGTTGGAGCCGTTATCTGGCTGAAGCGGAGTACGTGCTGGAGTGGGGAGGGAGTGTCCAGAGGGGCCGGAAGGTTGGCCCGCTGATTGCTGGAAGCCGTGTGAGCCATTCTGCGTATGCGACGTTCCTCCCATGTAGCGACTTGCGACGGTGTTCCTGTGCCGGTCGAGTATGGTCAGCAAAGTGTGAACTGCGTTGCGATGAACATGCGCCTTCTCATATGGGTCGCAGACCACTCTCAACGTGCAAATGCGAGCGCCAATGGACGCAATATCAGTGTAACGAAAGGTGCCCGGTCTTCCCTGGTGTAGAACCCTGACAAGCACGATCTCCGTTCCATTGGCAACGCACCAGCGGTCACCAGGTTGGCCTTGACAGCGAGTGCGTAATAATTCTCGAAGGAGAGATACAGACTGGAAAACAATTACGCGGATGCTAGAGTGTTGGCGACCGCTGTATTGATCAACAACCGACCTGGTATTGCTACTGAGAACATGACTTGAAACTTCATTAGAAAGAAAACTTACGAGACCTGAGAAGACTGGTGCACGCTTTGTGACGAAACGTTGGTTTCATATTGCTAGAAGCAATAAATAAGTGACAGTAATGTCGGGTAAGAACGAAGCTTACCGCATTTCGTGCTTGCCATCCTTGAGGATGTGCATCATTCTGGTCATAGTAGCCCCGCGGGACCTGAGACCGCGAAGTACTGCTTCCATTTTGAGTTGAACGCCTACACGGTCGACAATCAGATGGGAACAAAGGCGCAACGCACAGTATCTTACATGTGTTGGTGAGATTGTGTTCCTTCGAACTGGTCGTCTGCGTTGAACTGCATCCCCGTCATCTAAAAGAACAATGAGAGGTGATCGCAGAAATGAATGGAAAAGCTAACCTCAAAGTAGGGACGACTGGATGGTACAACGGCGGTGGATGGCGCGCGCATAGTCTGGGAACGATATAAGATAGAATACTTTGAAAAACACCATAATACGTACACCAGTCGCGTTGAAATCAGGATGGGGAACGGGCGGCGGAGCCATGACCATTTGTTGAGTGCTCGCGTTGGACCTGAAGCGCTTCATCGTCCCCGAAGACGATTCCCCGTACCTGCTATTGTCGTCTTCGTCGTCATCGACGGCCTTGCGTTTGCCAGCGGCCTTAGCTGACATACCACCGTACCGGCTCTGGTCCTCAATATGCAGTCCAGCCGAAGCGTTGCCACCAGACAACACTGCGTGATTTGGCGCACCACGAAACTGCTGGGGTGCCTCATGAGGGAAGCGGTGAGGAGAATTGACTATCCGGTGAAAGTCATCGGGGTATGTTGGCTGTTGAGGATAAAGTTGGCGGGGCCAGTAGGATTCGGGAGGCTGGTCATGATATTCGTAGTCTGTGTATAGCTGCATAGACTGCTGTTGCCTGGAAATATATTGTCGAATTCCGTCGTCGGAGGGTGCGACGGATGGGGGTTCCACTGGAGTTGTGGTGTCTTGTAATGATTGTTGGTACAAATTCGAAGGAGCGTTGGAATGGGGGTAAGGAACGGAGGGAGAGCTCCACTCCTCATCAGAGTGGGTTCTACTTTCTGGCTGTTGTTGGTACGAAATCGAAGGAGCGTTGGGCTGGGAGTAATGACTGTAGGTGGAACCCTGCTGGTCATCGGCGTAGATTCTTTCTTGTTGTTGGGAATAGTGAGTGTGGGCAGCACCAGGCTGAAAAGGGTTCTGTTGAACCGACGCGTCGTTCGCGTCCACGGAATATTGTTGTTGGTAGGGAGTCTCCTGGACATCCTGGGGTATATGTGAAGGCAGCTGGCCCAACATTAGACAGTGGGAGAGGGAGAGGGAGGGAGGAGATAATGAAGAAACAACTGCGAGGGCGCGCCGATAGTCTAGGGCGATAAGCACAATAAATGCCCGTCGCGGTAGAGGTGGTATTGGGTTGAAAAGTGGCAGAGCTGGGCATTATATAGAGCAAAGACAAAGTTTACACAAGTTTGCCCGTTAGCGCGAAAACATGTGACCTTGTTTCGTCCGTTTTAGTTTGGTGGCAAGCCGTGGGAGCTTCAGCTTGTTTCTTTGTCTCAGTTGCTCATTAGTAAAGGCGTCCACACGCCAGCTCAATCCTGAGGACAGCGTTATAAAGCTCCTGTAAGCGTGCTCGAATATATGATCACAAGCCAGGTAGAGACACCAGCAGCACATCGCAAGTTCAATTAGTATTGCAACCTCTAGATGTAGGCAAATATGCTTCAACCTCTGAGCTCCGGTGCGATCGGATATATCCGCGTCACCCACCGCAAGCCCAACAACGCACAACGCGTCAGTATCCCGAAAGTAAACAAGTAACAACGATACACCCGCGCTCAGATGCAGTAGCGAAGATCAAGGAAGTCTCTATAGTGGAAACAATTTATAGTCCGCAGACAGGTGATAAAGATGGTGTGGGGCAATGACCAAGTGACCAGACAAGGGGAAAAAAGACATCAGGAGGGAAGCTTGTCTTGACCAATTTTTGGACAAAAATACCACTAAACCAAGCCGAAATGGTGAGTATTACTCGGATCGCCGCATCCCAAGGTCGGTTGTGGTACAAAATGGACGATTTGACCCAACTTAAGCCAGTAACAGTTCCGGCACCAGAGTCCAAAGCATACAGAGAAAACGCAAAGCCTGAGGTTGTCCTGGGTGTCTGCTAGTGAGAGATTAACGCGAGCATAATAGTAGCGCATAAGCGAAGTTGACGTTGAACTTGGGACGGAGGAAGTTGGAAAGCGATACCGTGTTCAGTCACGTTCGATGTTTCCTTTTTGGAAACTGTCACTGGACATCGGAAGAATCGGTCCGTTACTCCGAAGCTTGGGACTCTGCTCACGCGTCCTTTAGGTAGAGGACCTACGACAATTATCTACATTCACAAATCATCGTGGGCCGTGAACGTTAGTATGTTCGACCCTCTCTCTATCTCTTGAGCTC